ATGGATGGATGGATGGATGAAAGGATGGATGGAGATGGATACATGATGGATGGATCAATGGATGAATGATGGATGAGATTAGGTGGCTGTAGCTCAGGTAGAGGAGCTCAGCTGCTGATCAGAAGGTTGGTGGTTCAATCCCTGGCTCTCCAGTCTGCATGCCAAATATCCTTGGGCAAGATACTAACCCCCACTTGCTCTCTGATGCATCCATCGGAGTATAAATGTGTATGAATGTTAGTTAGAAAGCACTGCAAAGTATAGACAACAGTGCTTGTGTGTATGGGTGAATGCGGCATGTTGTATAGAGGCCTTTGAGTACTCCACGAGAGTAGAAAAGCTCTATATAAGAATCATTTCTCATTATAAGAAACATTTACCATTTACCAGTCCATGGATGGTTGGATCAATGGCTAGAAAATGGATAAATGAAGGATGGGTCAGTGGATGATACATGGATAAATAATAAATGGGTAGATGGATGGATGATGGATGGATGAAAAGGGGTGAGGGTGCTATCTTCTGTCTGCTTGCTTTTTTGAGAAAGTGAACTAAAAATAGATATGGAAATATAGTATTTGGAGCATAATAAATGTTTTTTATTATGCTTGTTATTTCAAAATATAATCATATAAACTCCCTTTAAACCATACTTAACCAGACATACAAGATGCCACAGGGATGTCACCCACTGGTTTTTGAGTGCACAATACAAAAATACTAAAAATATGCTCTATAGCACTGAAGGTCACGTTATTTATCACATAATTTCATCAAAAACAAAACCAAGGAAGATGGGTCCTGTTCAGTGACTTGGTGAGGCCTAGCAAATAATGGCTAAAGTCGCCTTTCTCAGTACACCTGTCTGCCTCACCGGTGCCATTCAGCCTATGGACAGGTTAGCTCACAGTTTTAAGGTGTAATGCTTAGTTCATGGCCGACCAAAGTTTTTTTTTAAAAGTGCTGCAAAGTTTAATCCCAAAAAGTGCTACCTCTTTTCTCCATATGTCCAGTGAGAATTGAAGTGTGGACTTCCACATGTTAGACTTAAAGACAGTCAGTAAAACACTGCCGTCATATGCCCCTTATGCCCACTGGTGAGTCAGCAGGTCATCTCTTTATATCTTTTCAGGTCAACCATCGCAGCAGGAAGTCAGCAAGTAGTAGCACAGGCAGCTCCTCTGTCATAATACGAATCATTACAGTATACAAAGGTTTCGACCCTACACAAGAAGATTACAAGGATGGAAGAGGTGGTAATTCTGGGAGAGATGTCCTATTCAGAGAATGAGCCTGTCTAACAAAAGAGCTTCATTTGGGGAGAAAATAGTAGACAGTGGTGACAAACAGCTCCCACAGACATGTTTTGCTGGAAAGTCTTCTATCCTAAATAGATTTTAAAAAAGCAGACCCTTGACAAAAAGAAAGATGAATACGTGACAGCCTGTGCTGTCTGCGGACCTGTGGAGGTGTGATTATACAGTCCAAATACAGAATGAAAAGTTTCATTCATTTGGTGAGCTTTGTCAGAATTGCTTTACCTACTTTCTGCTTTAATATGGATTGTGAGTATAATATGCACGCAGCATTTCTCCACGGTTACAGCAAGTTTATAGTTGTCTTGTTGCACAGCAAATGAGACAAGGTTCATTCAAAAGCATGAGTTGTTCCACTGCCCTTCTCTGCTGGGCATATGATGTTACACCAAGGTCAGCACTCTCTTTGTCTTCCTAAACTCGCCTGTTGACATGAATGAATTAATCTAGTCATTACTTATTCATGTCGTTGGGATCAATTCTCTTCCCTCTGTTGCCTATGCTGATATTAAAGTTGATTAAAAAGCATTTAGGGTTGGAATTTCTGGTTAAGTCATCTGCGGGCAGGAAGAACGACGTGGTTAATGTCCTTTCCTTTGTGATACCCTTTTGTAACAACAATTACTGATTCCACGATGAGCTGTTTCCACAGCCCTTCTCCTATTTAAACATAGACTTTAAATTATTTAAACACTGCGGGCCAAAAATTTCTGTGGTAGTGGATTTGTGTGTGCTCGTGCACTAAGAAATCTCTTTGTTTCAGCTTCAGGAGCTTTGTAGTCGTTAATATCATCGTATCTTTCAACTCTTTAGTTTATATAATATTTATGTTCTGAGAAATTTTCAAATGCAAGTCACCTTTTCTCCTTTTTTTGTATATACTTACTTTTCCATGAGGAATATAAATGTGTTATCTTTTCAGAATCAAACACAACACTTTTAAGTGGACCTGTTACTGCAGCACTGCTGACAATGAAAGTGGGCCAGACTTTATTAAACTTGCAGGCGAGTGACTGAAACAGCTACCAGTGAGAATGGCAAATGCCATTGATTGGCTCATGGCGTGGTAGTAAATACATAAAGTTGTTTTCTAGGTTACTGGAATGTCTGTAAGCGACCTGCCGGTAGCTTCAAAGTGATGTCCGATAAACAAATCACTTCCAGTGTAGATGCAACATAAGTGTAAGCAGGCTACAAAGTCAAGTTTAGCTGCCATCCATGCAAATCAGCTGATTTTAGTGCCAACCCACATCAGCCGATTGCTCCTTCTGCACATCCAACTGACTATCTCGTGCAGCTGCCGCCATTTAACCTGTTTTAGCCTGCCCACTATTCATCTCCAACCCACCCACACCCCAGTAGTATGACCACAGTCTGATCAACTGCTTGTCTTCTGAAATAGCTTCAAAAAAATACATCCCATAATGTGTTGTTGTCAGGAGTATGTCGTACTCGCTGTCATGCATTATTCTTTCTTCTTGTAAGACGAGACAAACTACAGTAAATAATTTTGCCTGTAGCTTACAAGCCTCTGTGGGGATGTGCTGTTATTATGCAATTACAGTCATTCTGACATGTATGAGTTTCACTCCCAGTGGAATAAAGTCAATTACTGATCCCCTGCTTCTTTTTCCTTCTCTCCCGCCTTTCCTCTGTCGATGTGCTTCTTTCTTCAGGTTTGGAGGAAATGCTGATGTTGAGTGGATACCCCCTGCAGAGGTGGTTTGAGTCCTCGCAATCATAGATCCGTCATCAAGGGAATAGCTTTCATCATGACAACTGCCTACCTCGAGACTGCGCTCCTTGACCCCTCCTGTGGAGGGTGTAATTACTGAGGGAGGGGCAGCAAGACTGAGATAAGCTTTCCTGTGAAGATAGAAATCATCCAAACCATGTAGTGTTCCTTTCTCCAAGGAATGGGGGAGGGTCTACATTTGAGTCTGATCTTTTTTCATTTATTTCTGCTTATGTAATTAGTGGAAGAGATTTTGTGATTGATTATAGTGTATGTGGGCGTGGACGTGCAAGGTGAGGAGAAAGTGACAGACAGAAAGAGAGAGAAAGAAGGAAAGAGATGGTCCTCCACATCACCCCGTATTCCAGTGCCTGTCTGCACTTCTTGGATGGCTTGTCGTGGAGCCTGGTGTTTCCCTGCTACTGGTTCCTGGACCGGCTCCTGGCGTCCTGTGTGGCCACCTCGCTGGAGAAGCGACAGCGCTCCCAGGACCCCTGCTCCTTCCTCACGTTATGTGTGCTGATCTCCGCACCCCTTTACCTGCTCCTCCTCCTCGCCTCCTTGCCCTTTGCTCTGCTGGGCTTCATCATCTGGGCTCCCCTGCAGGCAATCCGCCAGCCCTACCTGTACACCTACTGCAGGTTAGTGCCAACATGGCTATATTATTTATCACTGCTGCTGTTTCTGTGAATTTACAGGGCTCTGAAAAAGTATTTTTACCAAACTTGATTTAAACATTTAAAGGTTTCAGATCATTAATCACATCCTAATAGACAAAGTTACCCAAACAAGTACATAGTACAGTTTTTAGATGATTTCATTTATTAAAAAAACGCTATCCAACCTTACCTAGCCCTATGTAAAAAAAAAAAATTGGAATAGTGGTGACGGAGTGGCCAGCCTAGCAAAACTACTCCAAGAGTGAAGGTTTCATAGTGGCCTGGCCAAATTGAGATGCTTTGGCATGACCTTAAACAGGTCCACAGAGATATGAAAGACTTGTTTGAACTTATTACAAATGCTTAATACTAGTTCTCACTGCCAAGGTCCAGGTAGGCTGGGTAGTTTTTTTCCATTAATAAATCATAGCATCATTTAAAAAACGCCTTTTTTATTTACTTCTGTTTTATATTTTATTTGTTTAATCTGAAACATGTAAGTGTGACAAAACTGCAAAAATGCTTTTTCACAGCACTGTACATAATATCTGATTTTGTAAGGATGTAGTGTCTTTTACTTTAGACCATCTTTAGACAGTATTATGTAGAGTGACCTAACTGTTTTAAGGTAACACAATCTTTTCCTGCTTAAGGTTTCTACAGGTGAGGAGGGCAGACCTACAGCCAACCATGTAGGCCTTTCTTTGTCCTTGTAGTGGTTCAGTTTAAAGATGACTGGATGAACGCACTTTATACCGGTTTACACATTTTAGACTGGCTTTCAACTAAACTGTGAATGAAAATGAGGCCCTGGATCAATGTAACGGGAAAAATGGGCCGAGCAGTTGTAGAGTCATGCTTCATTTTTTATCTATAGAGCCAGTTGTTCACAGGGGTTGGCTATTTCAAGAAGGAGAAAATGAAGTCATTATCTTGTGTAAATAGTTTGCTCGTGGGTCTGCTTTCCAGCTGCAAGACTCCATCAGCTCTCAGTGGGTGTTTCGTTATCCAAACACCCACCCCAGTGGCAACCCGCCATAACCACAAAATGGGAAATACAGTATTTAGCTCTGTTTGCTGTGGGACAGCAGCACGATCTTCCTATAATTAGCAGTTTAGAGATGACAAATGTAAAATGTGAGTTTCTAGTATTTTAAGCATTGTTTCAACAGTCACCTAGTAACAGTTTATTGTATATTCATGGATAACGTCTTTAAAAAGGTAAAAAGCACCGATGGCAGTAGAGTTCAGGGCCAGAAGCATAAAGAGGGGGTAGAGTAGAAATGGTAGAGTGAAAATAGAAAATGTAATACATAGTATGTGTACATCACATAATAATCATTTGAGAGTAAAACAGTTAAAAACAAAAACAAAAAACAGACAGGCTGCTATGATGTGTGCATGTCTGTTTTTATTCCTAAACCCTCTATAATTAAAATCGCACTATTATTATGAGAAGGGCTAAAAGCTGTAAGGCCCGGTTGCACCTTGTGGGGTACACTGACATAACTGTTTGATACAGTTTATTTTTCTCCACAGAGTCTCAAGGACAGCCTAGCTGCTTGGTGATAGTACAGAATTCACTGTGTTCTTATCTGAAAGATGGTAAAAAGAAAATTGGATAACACGACATCCTAAGAACTTACTGAATTTACGTATACCTTTGTTATTCTTGATATGCTGCAAAAACATCTCACATAATGAATGTATTTGTATTTCATGCTACTGACAACTCCTGAAAGATTTCTGCATGAAAACAAGTTTGTCTCAACAGTATTTTCATAACACTCATCAAAGACCAGGCTCTACAATTCAACATTTCATTGCATCAAAGTATACAGCACCAAGTTTGGGTGGCCAGATGTGTCCAAACTTTGGACTGGTAGTGTAGTAGTATTATTATAACCCCATCTCACCAGCAAAGGGTTTTAAGATACAACAACAAAAAAGAATCTACTTAAATCCAACTTAGATGCACTATTTTTCTACCTTAACAGAGTTAGATATGATCAAGAATACTATAACTTTATTCTACCAATTAACAAATAAACAGTTTGGCACAATGTGAGGAAATATAATAATGGATTGGATTTATATAGCGCTTTTCAAGGAACCCAAAGCACTTTACAATGCCATTATTCATTCACATTCACACACTGGTGGAGGTAGCTACAGTTGTAGTCACAGCTGCCCTGGGGCAGACTGACAGAAGTGAGGCTGCCATATCGCGCCATCGGCCCCTCTGGCCAACACCAGTAGGGTAAAGTGTCTTGCCCAAGGACACAACGACCAGGACAGAGAGCCCGGGGATTGAACCGGCGACCTTCCGGTTACAGATACGGTCGCCCTGTGTTTAGTTACTGTAATATGTACAGTAACTAAACTTTTTGTCTTAATTTCCTATTATTTGATGAGTTTCCCCCCAGGAAGGGCAGATGTTAATTTTAAGTTAACATCTTTCACACTCTGATGTTGGTGAGACCTTTGGAGAATTGGGGGAAAATAAATTCCAAATAGAAAAGATTTTTAAAAGCTGAAAAGCACATGAGTATAATTCTACTCATCACACCCCCACAAACACCTGCTGAAAAACTGACAACAAAGGACCGTTTAAGAAGAAGATGTGAATCCAATTTTTTTTATCTGTTTCTGGTCTGTTTGGTTGTTTTAGGTTTTCTTAGTTTTACTCGTAGCCAACATTGTTGATTATGAGCCTTCAGTTCTTGTTAGTTTAAGTTACTGATTGTGTTTATGGAGCTTATGTGCACTGTGGCACTTTGGTGCTTTAGGCACCAAAACTACCTGTTCTGGGTTGAATAGATCATATTTAAAATGTTGATCATGTTAGAATAAAACTTAGTATCATGGGGTCAACTACAAGTGGAACAAGTTTGTTCCTACAAGTGGAACAAAATCACTACTGTTTATTTTAGCAAAGTCTGAAGTGTAGACAGCTCTATACTTTGCGCAGGTTCAGCTATCTGCTGCAAAACTCATCAGATGTTGCCTCACAGCAAAAACAAACCCAAGAGTTTGTCAAGGCAAATAAATTGGATATTCTTGAATGACAAGTCAGCCAACTGATCAGAACTCAACAGAGAAGCTTTACAGTTACTGAAGAAAAAACTAAAGTAAATGGTTCAGGTTCTGAAATTATTTATTTTATTATTTATTTATTAAATTCACTGTTCTTGTGCACAGATACAAAATTTAAAAAACTGTTTTAATACCCAAATACAAATGGTCCTAACTGCATATGTCTATGTAGACACATCTCTTTAAGTGACAGAAATGTAATCCATTTCTTTAGACTACATTACTGATATAATAAGGTTAATAAGCAGAAACCTCAAAACTGCTCAGCAGCTAATTGCTTTGAGAGATTCTGCTTTAAAAAGTATTTGCATTTGATTAGCTTCCTTATGGCTATAAGACCCTGTGTTTGAAGTATCTGGATTTCTTTAATATTGCTCAGAGTTAGATGACCAGTATGATATTACTCTCAATGAGTGTAGGCTCAAGATGAAGGTAGAATAAAATGGTTCTCTAAGTATATCTTTTGAAAAAAGAAATATGGGAAAAATTTCCTTGCTTCTTTTAAAAAAATGCTTTTGCTACTATTGCCCTATTTTTCTTCTGGTATTATATTTGCATTTAAAGGTTGTTTTTTTTCTGTCTTGTCTAGGCCAGACAAACACCAGGCTGAACAAGGTCAAGCAGGTGCTGGAATTGGGGAATGGAGGCCACAGGGCAGAAGCTTCTGTTTCTGCAGTGCCAATGTTTGCCTTCTGCCTGACTCCCTAGCAAGGTTTAACAACCTGTCAGACACCCACCGGAGAGCACGGGAGGTAGGGAAGAGGATCCGCAATGGTGCCAGCCGACCTCAGATTAAAATCTACATTGACTCACCTACCAACACTTCTATCAGGTATGGAGAGATCAATCCAAACTTCCCTCTGCACTTATCTGCAGTAAATGCCTCTATGTTCATATTGTTTCTGTTATGTTTATCAGTGCGGCGTCCTTCAGCAGCCTTGCCACAGGTTTCCGCCGTACCTCATCGTTGGACCAACGTCCAGACCAAACACACACAATCAATGGCCCAGCCGACACCGAAACTGAACCTGCCACCGAGTGCCCGATTCACCCCTCAGGTGCCACTGACTGCCCCGTTCACCCTTCTGTGAATGACCAGGGCTCTGCTGAATGCCCTGTGCACCCTGATGGGGCAGACACTACAGCAGAATGCCCTCTCCACCAAGGGGAGACTAAAAGCAGCTCAGACTGTCCCATTCACACCTCAGGGGAGGCTCCAGACTGCCCCATGCATTCCACAGTAGCTCAGAGTGCTCCTGGTCATCATGACTGTCCCATGCATGGGGATGGGACCCAGCCAAAACCCGCAACAGACTGTCCGCTTCACACCTCAGGGGTTCAAATTAGCATCAGTGCTCCAGAGCCAGACCCCCAGGAAGAGGAGGCGGAGACAGGGAACCACCGGCCTGGAGAGCACGGAGGGGCAGACACGGGCAGCATGACTGCTTCTCGTGAGTCCCTTGCTCGTTACCATGGAAGTGATGGCGGGATAGGGATATCCTCCAACAATACTCTCTCTCATGTCCCACGCACATCAATATTCAAGCGCCCAGGTCGAAAACGCCGCCACGGAGATGAAACATTCGACCATGACATCTCTGCCTTTTTCCCTGCCAACTTGGATTTCCTGGCTCTACAGGAGGTATTTGACCATGGATCGACTACTAGACTACGGCGCCAGCTGCATCGCTATTTTCCCTACATCCTGAGCGATGTTGGGCGGTATGGCTGGAAAGGCTGCTGCTCCAGGTTCAAATTCCTGAACAGTGGGCTCATGCTGGCAAGCCGCTACCCAATCCTGGATGCACGATACGAGTGCTACCCCAATGGCAGAGGGGAAGATGCACTGGCGGCCAAGGGGGCGCTGTTTGCCAAGGTTTGACTTCATTATCTCTCTCTTTTTCTGCTTTGTTGTTACTGTTATGAGGCACAGGTTTCTCTTTAGTCGGTCTGCTGAGCTGTGTGAAGTAGCAGACTTTCAGCTTCAGAGTCGTGACCACTGGTTTGGTTTCTGAGAGGATGGTCTACTCTTCAAGAGATCCTCTAATATTTCATGTATTTGACCTTTCTTGAAATGCTTTTCACTTCCCTTTGAGGACATTTAGACTCCTTCCAGGAGGCAGAGCATTTGGTTTTAGGTGTTATTATCAGCAGCATTTTAGAGTTCTTTTAGTTGACTAAATGCATCAGGATAAAAGCAGAACCTACCAGCTGACCATTTTGTTGTCACTATCTTACAAATTAGTCTTTGATTCTAATAAGGTATTATTGGGAGTTCATCAGAACTGGCTTATCCACCATCAGTATAGCAAACACAAGCTCAATATTTAAAAAAAAAAAGAGGATTGCTGAGGATAAAATCATGTAACATGTTTATTCTTGGAGCAATTCGGCAAGCAAAATAGGCCAAAGTGAATCAACTCCAAGTCTCCATCAGGGTCTATTTTGCTTGCTGAACTCCTCCAAGAATAAACTTCATACATATTTTTATCCTGAACGGTGCCGCAGCAATCCTCTTTTTCTCTGATTGGGAGTCTTAGAATCTCTCCACCTCTTTTCCTGGAATCATTTTCCCACCCACATAGCATTTCTTTTGCATCTGAACTGAAATTCACTTGCGGACCTAATATTTCTTGCAGCAAAGACGTGTCTCCGCTCTGACAACTGCTTGGCGCTACTTCAGCTGTAATCCTGTCATCACTGATGCTGCTCTGGGACTTTGGCATGGCAGTAATTGAATCTGCCCATTAAGTCCATTTAAACTAAATTAACTTATTATACATTTGTGAAAGAGAGTGTGAAAGAAGGCCAGAGAATCAGATCTAAAATGACCTGTCAGCTGCGTACGTTAATTATAGATCTCAGTATTGTGGCATCGTAGCGATTGTATGGGGAACATTTTTTAAATGCTTCTGTTATTCTTCCAGGTGTAACAAACTTTGCATAACCCATGTGTGATGCAACTCACACACGTTTTCTACAAATTTGCAACAATGCTGCACTGAGGTAGAAAACACAAATTAAAGCACTTGCTAAATGCATTTGCTTACACCCACACTCATTCACACATCACACATCTGTCACGGTGATGAGTGAATGCACCGCAGTAATTAGTGATCACTCACAGCCTTTCCTCAACGATCACTGTAGTGTCGACAAAAAGGCGTCACATGCTTTCGAGATTTTGTTTTCTTTTTTATTAATGTTTGTTGAAGAATTATCATAATGTTTGTTTTTCAGTGAAGATATGATAACGATAAGCATAATGATATGGCTTTGGTAATTAACGAGAGAAATCATTGTTTACAAATGTAATTCGATTTTTTTAAACACCGCCAAATCACATTTTTCACGTGTTGGTAATTTAATACAATTACCAATCACTTTGGGCTGCACTTGTATAATTGTAAGAATTATTTTGCAATTACTGAGTCTTTCCAGATTCTGATTTTGCATAGTTTTACATAGTTTTGCATAGTTTTACATAGTTTTACATAGGTTTTTAAGGGGCGTTTAATATGAAATCAAAAACAGTTAATTCAGTAGGAAATCAAGAACATAAAAAGCAAAAATGTATTGATTGCAAACAATTATAAAATGTAACAAACAGATATGGATAATATAAAAAATTCTAAATAGAAAATTGGCCAAATGCTAAAACCCGCATCCTAGCAAGCAAAGAAAACATACAACCTTTGTTCTTCTATTTTTTGTTTTTGTTTTATTGGCTGATATCATTAGTTTTGACCTGATAATGGATTTGCTATCAGCAAAGCCTGTAAGTCTCATCTGCTGAGATTACTTATTGCCAAAATGTGAGAAAGAACAACAATACACTCTACAATTATATATTCCGTTCAGACTGCAATTATTATGCTCATTTTCAGTTAACATGCATAATGTGTTTCCAATTAACCTGCATTTAAATGTATAACATGTAGAAAAGGGCTGTTTTAATTTTCCACTGTGAAAAATCTATATGTCAAAACACAAGGACAAGTTTTTGAGGATGACTTGTGATAAAAAAAAA